GCTGATAACCTCTGTCTGGGCATCGACAGGGGTAGTGTGACCCTGTTGGTGCTACTGGACCTTTCAGAGGCCTTTGACACAATACATCATGACATCCTCTTGAAGCGCCTGAGAAAATTAGGAACTGGAGGCATTGCATTGCTATGGTTCCATTCCTTCCTCTCGGGCAGATTCCAGAGGATGATGCTCAGGGACAGGTGCTCAGCTAAAAAGGAGCTTAATTGTGGCATCCCTCAGGGTGCCATCCTGTCCCTGATGCTATTCAACATATATATGAAGCCGCTGGGAGAGAACATCCAGAGACATGGGTGTGTGTGTTAGTACACCGATGACACCCAGATATATTTCTCCATGTCTCGGTCTACAGCTTTGACTTCAGATTGAGTCCCCCCCCCCCTCAATGAATGTATTAAAGCAGTAAGGGACTAGATGAGGAAAAACAGATTGAAACGGATCCAGACAAAATGGAGGTACTAACAGTAGCAGCCCCAAACCCAGGTATTGGGATACAATCCCTAGTCCTAGATGGGGTCACACTCTCCTCAATGGACTGTGTTCATAGTCTGGGGGTGCTCATAGATCCGTTGCTTCAGATGACAAATCAGGTGAATGTGATGGTCAGGAGTGCCTGTTATCAGCTCCGGCTGATATGCCAGCTGCACCCTTTCCTGGAAGTTAGGGACCTTGAAACTATGGTACATGTGCTGGTAACCTCTCATCTTGGTTTCTGTAATGCACTCTACATGGGGCTACCCTTGTGCCTAGTTTGGAAACTTCAATTGATATAGAACATGGCAGCCAGGCTGGTCTCAGGTAAAACTGTAAGACACCATATAACACCAATCTTACCATCACTTCACTGTCTGCCTATCAATTTCTGGGCACAGAACAAGGTGTTGGTTACCTTTAAAGCTCTAAAGTCTTCAGGACCACCTCCTTCCGTATAATCCACCCCATGCACTCAGGTCCTCTGGGAGGGACTTGTTGCAACCTATAAAAACTAGATTGTCTGCAACTGCTCAGAAGACCTTGTCGCCTACTGCTCACAGATTATGGAATGGCCTGCCGGATGAGATCCATCACATTACTTCCTTAAACAGCTTTCAAAAAGCTGTTAAAACGAATCTATTCCAGCAGGCCTTTCCTGAGTAGACAATCAGCCACCGAAAAAGTTGTGTCTGTTACACCCTGGCTTCTCTAACAGTTATTTTAAATTTATTTGTTACTTGTTGTGTATTGTTATTTTAAAGTATGTTTTAAACTTTAACTGCTTAATTGTATGGGGGGGTTGTTGGGAGACAGGAATGTGTTTTAGCATGCAAGCCTCCCCAGTTGTGTTACACAGCGAGGTGGGATACAAATTTATTATTATTATTATTATTATTATTATTATTATTATTATTATTATTATTATTATTATTATTTCATTTGCTTCATTTGCAAAATTACCCAAAAGCAGCTGCTTCCCTTGCTTAGGATACTTTCTTTCTCCTCTCTCCCCCCGCCACCCCCAGCATAACAGTGGACCTCATACTAAGACATAGGCATGGGGGGGTGCTAGGGTTGCCAGCCAAGAGGAAAGGGGGTGGTAGCCTGAACAAGTTGGGGACCACTTATCTAAACAGCTACAATGCTGTAAAATAAGCACAAGGAAATTTATTTTATGTGAAAGGTCAGATGGCTCCCCCACCTGAACCCATTGCAGGACAGATGACAATCTTATGGCTTTTGTCCATTGAATTTGTGAGGATACCATCTTGTCTTTTGCCCTAAATAGTAAATTGTCTTGGGCTGGCCCTGCAAATTGGAGTACCCTTCCCATGTCTTTTTCAAACAAAAGCCATTCTAACAGAGGTGGGTATTATGGATTCCTCCAGATGTTCTTAGACTGCAATCTCTAGGGTTGCTGAAGCTGCTTAGGGCTACTGGGAGGTGCATGAAGGACCACATAATCACCACTCTTGATCTATTTACTGTATAAGAAAACTGTCTGGCCTATCAGTTTTCAGCTCATCACTATTGTACCACACTATCACAAATGCAGTTTGAGTGTGTGCATATACGTGTGTGTGTGTATTTCGTGCCACTTGGAAGGCCTGAAATTTTTAACAAATGGAAGATACACTCATCTGAAGCTCTAGCTACAAACTCCTTTACAAAAAATACAGTTGGAAGGAACATCAGAAGTTATTTACCATCTTTAACAATATCCAACAGCCACAAGAAAACACATGTTGTAGTGGGAGTAACTATCACTCAAGCCAAAAGTATTTCCATATTTCTAGAATCAGAATTCTGGACAAATAATCCTATTTAGCCAGGATTGCACTGATCTCATACTGCTCAGGGAACAAAGAATGAATTTAAATAAAATAAGAAATGGATGAGAATAGACCCATGAGAGTTTTCCATTACAGTTTTTATTTGCAAGGAAACTTTGGAGCAGGAAGTCATTCATCCCCAGGTGTCCTAGACAGCAGGGACTCGACAGAGTTCTATTTCCCTTGCCTAAGCTGGCATTCTTAATAAAACAGATATCTGAGATCGGGTAATTATTATGAAGACTGGGTCTGTAGTTTATTAAACCTTTTTTCTTCCTTTCAAACAAACACAAACAAGCCCTGTGAAAGTATCACAGTAAGTGGGGACTAAATTAAAAAGCCAACTGCAACGGCATTAGTAATAGAGGTTATGGCCAATGCAGTCATTATTGTCAACAAATCCTAAATGCATATAATCCACAAAGAACCCTGAAACAATCATTTTGCCTCCATAGGGATCTGCTGTGGTATCTAATGCAAGTATCATTATAATAAACAAATAAATAGAAATAAATAAATAAGAGCCATGAGACATATTGCTAAAACAGAAAAGAGCACTAAAATACAACAAAAAAGTACAGGAAGCAGCTGGCCTATTGTTTCTTTACACAAGGCAAAGGAAATACAATCATTTTAGGAGAATGTCATAGTGACATGCCTCTGAGTTAGACCACGAATGGAAATGGTCTGTATGGAACTTAAAGGAGTTAAAGCAAATTTGTTATAAGGTTTTGTTATATCTTGTGTGTGTTTGTGTGCCTGTAATTGTGTGAGCTAATCCCATTTATAATGAATCCACACAAGGAACATAATTTTACAAATGCACTTTTACATTTAGAATGCTGTTATCATAAAAACAAAACACAGACTGCCTGGGTAGTCAGCCTGACTTATAGCAGCTCGGTTCAACCTCTGCAAGATAACCAAGAGTAATGGTTTTTGATAATCAAGCTGCAGTATTAATATAACATGAACCATAAATGCTTTTGTACTGCAGCTCCGAGTAAGCTACCAAATCTCATTGGAATATAAACAAGAAAATTCATATGGTACTTTATTTTCTTCTTGAAAATAAAAATGCTTCAGAGCATTTCTATGAGGGGGTATCGTAAAGTTTTAATTATCACCTTTTAAAAAAATTGTCAGAAAGTTTGTTTTGATTTATAGTTGTTAACTTTTCTCTACGTAGTCACCATCAGATTTACACATTTTCCCCAGCATTTCTTGACCCTCCGAGTACCATTATTGTAGAAGTCTGCAGATTGCGCCTTAAACCACTCTTCTACTTCATGAATGACGTAATTTTTGTTGTCAAATCGGTGACCCTGCAACAGATTTTTCATTTCTGGGAACAAGAAAAAGTCACTTGATGTGAGGTCAGAAGAATAAGTTAGATGCTGCAAAATTTCAAAACCACATGCCCTTGCTTTGTTAATTACAACTTGAGATGAGTGGGCTGATGCATTGTTAGCTAGGAGATGAATGTCTCTGAAGAGCATACCACGGAATTTCTTTTTCAGAGTATCATGCAACTTGTCCAGAAAATTGCTGTAGTATGTGCCAGGGATGGTTTGTCCCTTTGCAAGGTAATCTGTGAGAATGACTCAATGACAGTCCCAAAAAAAACTGAGAGCATGACCTTCCCTGCTTTTGCTTTTGCACCTTTGCCTTTTTGGGGAGAGGGGATTTGGCATGCTTCCACTCCATGCTCATAGTTTTGGTCTCTGGATCATACTAATAGATCCAAAATTCATCCATGGTTACCAGATGACAAAAATAATCCTCTTCATCCTGTCCCAACAGCATCAATATCTGTCATGAAAGGTCACACCATGTTTGTTTCTGGATAGGGGTTAGCAAACATGGAACCCAGTGTGCAGACACGTTAGACATGTGCAGTTCATCATGTATAATTTTCTACACACTACCATAACTGAGACCAGTTTCATTCATGGTCATTTGGATGGTTGCTCATCTGTCTTCCAGGATTAAACACTCTACTTTCTTCACTGTGGCCACATCATTCATCAATGATGGCCTTCCAGGTCTTGGCTTTTTTGTGAGGGACATGTGACCAGTTTGAAATTCCTTTTCCACCTCACAATACTGTCATAAGATGGGCAATCATTTCATAAACTACCATAATCTCATCATGAATTTACTGGGCACTATTACCCTTCAAATGCAGGAACTTTATCACACTGTGAACCTCAATCTTCTCCATCGTACACTTTCGTCACTTCTGGTACAACCTGTAACAATAACAAAGGACACAAAAAGCTGACTTTCTCAACATCATGCATGTAGGGAGTAATGATGACACTGATAATATTTCATCAATATACCATAATAATTTGTGGATGATAATTGTTACTTTATGATACCCCTTGTATGGATGCTTCCTCCATCCTAAGAAAGATTGTAAAAGTATATACTGAAACATGTTGCTATATAAATGCATATCTGATCCACAAAATCACATGTCACTTGGCTGAGAAATTTACTCTTCAAAGTTGTAAGATTTTGTATGTCAGTGTTTACTGGTTATTAGCTAGCAAAAGTCCTACCAGGCAGTTTTCACAACAGGAAAAAGATGGACAGTTCCAGGTTTTCCCTCAGTGGAAATCTCTGAGATTTACAGTGCGATTACCACAAGATACCAGTGAGGTTATACTGAAAGCCAGTGTGCTATAGTGGTTTGAGTGTTAGACTATGACGCTGGAGACTAGGGTTTGAATCCCCACTCAGCCATGGAAACTCACTGGATGACCTTGAGCAAGTCATACACTCTCAGCTGCAGAGAAGATAAAGACAAAACCTTTCTGAACAAATCTTGCCAAGAAAGCCCCATGTTAGGTTTATCTTAGGACGTTATCACACGTGGCCCAGAAACTGAAAATAAAGTGGAAATGAGGCATCCCAAAAATAAATGGGATATAAACCTTGTTTCCGCAAGCGTCATTACCTTCATTGCGAATTTACAGTAAGTGCATTGAACGTCCACACACAAGAGAAAAAAACCTGTAAATGTACTAGAAATGCGCCTCTTGCACATGTGCAGATAGAGGAATGCTCACTGGAACCATGGCAACAGCAGGGAAATGCTCCCCAAAGCGCATTTGGCGATCACATTACGGTAAATATGCAATTACCGTAATTACGTATTTACATTTCCTCCAGACAACTGGATTACAAAAGATCGCGTTTCTGTCCACTTTCTGTCCAGTTTCTGTGCGATGTCATGTGAAAACACGGGGCAGTAATCCAGTTTCAGTATGGATTTTGTGTGGATTAACCAGCAGATTTGCCCCTGTGTGATAACGTCCTTAGAGTTACCATAAGGTGGAAATGACCTGAAGGCACACAACAACAACAATAATCTCCACCGATACTTAAAACTTAACATCCTTCTCCCATTCCTCAAGCCTAAAATAACTACTCCCCCTGCCAAAATCCACTCAGACACCAGTGGGTGTTATAGTCCAAAGGCAATGTTTTCAGGTTCTGCCTCCTTCTGTGCCCTTCCAGTAATGAGTAACTCATTACTGGGTGGGCACAGAAGGAACAAAGAATGAGTTCTAGCTTATAGGCCCTGGAGTGCCACATAGTGTTGTGAACCTGTTTATACTATACAACACACATTTAAGAAAAACAAAATGGAGGGCCCTGGACCAAGCATACCTGAAATGACATCTTCCCTTATATATACCTCCCCATCTATTGGCTACAGCATTTGAGATTCTGCTGTGGTTCTTATGGTTCTTTTAGAATATTATCACTATGCAACTTTTCCACTGGAATACTATTATTGTGAATTTGCATCACCAGAATAGTTCTTCAAGTTTATATTTTATATAGTGAAGGCTTCTACACAATTGATGTTTTTCTTAACATCCTTTGTGTTGGGCTTTTTATATATTTTAATCAAGAGATTCTCTGACTGATATTTGTTACTTGCCCATTCATACTGTTAAAACAAAAATGCCACAACTTTATTGGTTATAGCTGCACAAGCTTGGCCCTGGTATTGGTCTGGATCCAGACATCAGTTAACTCACCTGCTGGCAGACATTTAACTCACCTGCTGGAAGCTCCTCCAGCAGCAGACATTGGATGCTACATGTGTGGAAGCCACTTTGTGGTTTCCTTGCTACTTAATAACCGGATGGAGACAGCTGCTCCCAGATTGGGCATGGCCCCATATGCCCCCAAGGTTCAATAAGGGGACCCCCACACACCAATTATAACAGGGCTTGCTTGCTCCACATCCCTCTGATTGGATCCAAGCATCATGCTCCAAATTACTTAAAACTTTAAATTAAAGTTTGAGACTTTAATCCAACATTAAACAAAACATTTACACAGATCATAAGCTGAAAACCTATTGTATAGTAGAACAGTGCATTCCTTCTGTCTGGGATAGTTGTCCTCTTCCTTCAGGTGTGCAACTTCAGGAGGGACACACATTGTGAAGTGTAAGGGATCACCCACCTAGACAGCCAGATCAGCAGAACCAACCCTGGCAATCAATGGAGTGACACATGCATCAGTCAGATTGCCCTCACTTCTAAGCTAAGAGTAGGTGGTTGGGGATAAAGCCCAACAATGATCTGGGTTTGGGAGTGACAAAGGTCTTTTTATATAGTGGTATCCACTGGGGTTTCATTCCAGGATCCCCCATGGATACCAACATTTCTGGATGCTCAAGTCTCATTAAATACAATGACATAGTAACATGTTGTCTCTTTTCGAAACGGACAGAGTCAAGGTTTGCTTTTTGGAATTTATATTTTTTTGATATTTTGAAACCTTGGATGGTTGAATCTGTGGATAAAGAAGCTATGGATACAGAGGGCTGACTGTATGTATATACAGAAAATAGACCTGGGTAACACCTGTGCACATGCTCCTTCAAATCCTGTCCACCAGTTTCTGGGATCCTTGCAATTGGCTGCCATTCCCATTCTTACTCTGGAGCCTGCAAAATCCATACAAGGGCTCCTGGGAAGAAGACACCCAACTGAAAAGAAAATGGTGTTCACCCAAATAGCCTCCTGCCATGATCTTCAAAGCTGTATTCTGGCAAGTTGGGAACACACTGTTATTATAATATATGCATAGAACACTATTATTAGAATATGTTCTTATTACACAGGGACTTCTGTACTTTGTTTAAGTAAAAAGGCAGCTTCTGCATTACACACACACACACACACACACAAAGATGTGGGGAAAGATCTATGAAACTTAAGTTCCACTGGGATGACTCCAAGTGTGGTTAGATCTAGTCCAATCCAAAGAATTGGCCTACTAGAGCTAATTCTGGTTTGTAACAATAAGGGAAAAATAGTCTTAAATATGCCCAGTTTTATCAAATAGGAATATGCTAGTGGAAGTAAGATTAATGGGCTGTGTAGTACAGTCTATTAAAAACAAAGGTCTTTGATGGAGGCAGGAGCCTTTATATCCATTGTTTATATATGAACACCACACAAATATTAATGGAATTATGTAGTATAGGCACAAGGCAACTTTGAAAACAATATATTCCTAAGCAACAGTGTCACCACCATATACTTTTCACAGTATTTCTGTCATCAACACAGGTTATGCATTAAAAAAAACTCACTAAATTAAACACTGACTGAATAGACCCCCTCCACTCTAACATATTATACTTGAGTTGCTTTTGAGGCTTCAGTAGCATCAGTGAGTAGTGTGGTATAAACTGATGACAGCAGTGACTTCTTTGAAATTTCACATTTATTTCTTGTGAGTGATACATTAAATTTAGGGCCTACTCATTTTTGATCATTAAAGATCCCATGGCCATTTTTCTTCTTTTTTTTTTTTTAAAAAAAACCCAAGATGATTGCAAATGTTGAAATAATTGCAATTACATGGTCAAATTCTGGCTCCTTGCATACCAAAAAATCCTGTTTCATGGTAATAGTGTTGCCAGGTTTTTCAATAAGGGATAGTTGAAAGTCATGGCATGTAGGGTTAACAATTAGAAAGTAGCAATTAACAATTTCATGTTCTACCTAAATGCCAAATGAAAGTATTGGTTTCAGTTAATTTAGGGTACATCTGTACTGTAGAAATAATGCAGTTTGACACCATTTTAACTGCCATGGGTCCATCACACAGAATTCTTGGATTTGTAATTCTAAGAAGCACCAGGACTGTTTGGCAGAGAAGGCTAAATAACTTGTAAACTACAAATCCCAGGATTCCATAGCATGGAGCTACAGGCCTTAAAGGGGTGTCAAACTGCATTATTTTTATAATGCAGATGCAGGCTTAAGCCATGTATTTCTCTGTAAAATTAACATATTGTCCATATTCATAAACTACATGATACACACATTTCTGACTTTATGGAGGGCCCACACCCCTATGTTTTGCATTCTATCTATGGAGTTTATCACACGGGGGAAATCTTGTGCGAAAACGGGGTGTTTTTTCAGATGATGTCGCTGTTAAAAGGAGGTTAATCTGAATGGAAATTAGACAAAAACTGCTTTTTATTTTCGGAAGATCCCAAAAGTAAAAAGAAGCAGTGTTTGTCTAATTTCCGTTTGGATTAACCTCCTTTTAACAGCGCTTTTACTTTTCACACAGGGCAGAACGGGAGAAATCCTGTTTATTGAAAGCTTCCGATTTTGCTTTTTTTTTTTTTTTTTTTTTTTTTACACTTTAAAGCCTGTTTCTGCACAGGGCTTCCATGTGATAAACTCCTATGTAAAAGCAAAAGCTTTCCAACCCTCAAATATGGAACATATCTCCAAATAAGAGACACCTGCCAGCCCTTTAAGCAACAAGCTTCCTGTCCCTAAGATAAGGGACATCCCTTAAAATAAGGCAAATCTGACAACCCTGGTTGAAAGAGTTATTCTTTTTCTGTTTGAAAGAAAACCAAAAGGTGCAATACAAAACTTAGATGGTATTAGTATCTTAAGCATGAACTGGAAAGAATGTCTTTTAATCCCACCCTGGGTGACTAAAAGAGTGGAACTACATTGCAATGATTATGATTCTTCTGCCAGTCATAATTGAATTATATGCTAATCTTTCAGGATGGTAAATTTCTCCCACCCCTATAGCAGCTAGTAAAGTGAGGAAAGTGTGTTATTTCTTTAGGATTTGGGATGATTTGTTTGCAATGGTATTTGTATTCAGTATTTCCAAGCACAGCCCAATTCAAAGCAGCTGACAGAAAGTTAGAAATAAAAGTTATCAATAATAGTAGTAATAATAACAATACAGAAAAGTAGCAGAAGCAGCAGAGTAGATTGATCAAGGAGATGCTCATCAGAAAAATACTGTTTTCAAATCTTATGGAGTATACACACAAGATCAAACCGTCAAGATATGGGCTCGTGATCACAGTGGGAGTTGGAACAACCACATCTACATTAGGTATTCTGAACAGCAGCTATTCTGTTAATATACTGTGGTATATGCAGCCCAATACAGTTGACCCTCTGTATCCACACATTCTTTATCCACAGATTCAAGCATCTATGGCTTGAAAATATTCAAAATATGTAAGTTCCAGAAAGCAAAGCTTGATTTTGGCATCTTACACAAGGGGCACAGTTTCACTATTGAATAAGACTTGAGCATCCATGGATTTTCATATCCATGGGTGGGGGGGGGGGTTTCCTGGAACCAAACCCCAGGAGATACCAAAGGCCCACTGTACCTACAAGGCAATGTGTCCACCTTTGTGACCTTTTGAACTCATT